TTGATGACTGAATGTAGTGTAATGAGCTTTGGTCAAGTCTCCTGACTTGAAAAAGCACTTTATAAGTACAGGCCATTTACCATTTAACCATCCTTAAAGTCGTAGGGAAGTCATATTTAAATTTCAAATCATTCTGGCTAAAACATGTATATAAATGTATTCTTTATCAGACCATATTTTTCCAAAAGTTAGAATATTTCTATTTAAAAAAAATCCTGTCTTAAAATCTGTGGGGGGTTTTCGTTATTTTATGCAGGCCAGTTAGTTATACATCGGCTTGTACAACCAAATTCAGACAATCATATATCAACGGTCATCTGTCAATCACATTTTTTCGGTCGTAGCATCTTGATTCATATGTTGCAGCTAATATTTGCAACGATTGAAATAAGAAAGAAGAATCATTTACTTTACCATTGAGTTATGCCCCAGTTTTCTTGGATAGACGTTTGTGTCTTCGGCAGGCGTAGAGCTAACAGAATTGCGAGGCAAGGGCTCAAACATGTATGGCTGTAAGCCTTCTACACAAAATTAAGCTTCTGCAGCCCTGGCGTCCTCTTCCACAACAACTTTATCCCCAATTTCCTCCTCTAAAAAAAAATGTATGATGGAGGAGACTCATCCACGACCTTTGACACAAAACTCTCCTCCCCTCTCATGTTTCCGCTGTCCATAGCGTTCCTTGACAGTGTCGTTGCTAAGTGCTACTTGGTCACAATGTAATTTCCCATTGGGAACATACTAGCACTAAGTTGCTAACTGGTTAGCAAGATGCTTCCGAGACATGGCCACAACCAGACTTGCTTGCGAACCTTCCACCACAACAATCCCACCCTCTCGATAATCGACCAATCACATTTACTTTATACACTCGTGTAAAGTCGGGCACCACTCAGAAGAATTCGGCAGTGCAACGGTTGCAACAGCCGCTTCCCTACGACTTTAATGTCTACAGCTGAAGTGCATCTATAATGGTTGACATGCTAAAGCTTGAGCAGAGTCATGAAGACATTGTGTAATCATTAAGGTGAAAAATGAGTTTTGAAATATATTTGTTTATACTAATAATTATTTTAATTAGCTTCCAGGAAAATTTTGGCAGTTACATATTTTCCCAAGAGGGTGAAACCCTACTTTGCCTCGTATGTTGATCTTTTTATGATCATCTGTGATGATCAAGCAAAGGTAGTATGGCTGGGTGCCATGCATCTCATTAGTTTCTAACAGACTTTTGTCAAGTGAAAGCTTGGATAAAATGAGTGTTTCCTTGTTGAATCAATGCTTTTAATTAACATTGAGATGTGCAGAAGTGAAAAATCTTTCCATCAAAACTAGGGGTCAGTTAGCGGTCATTAGGGTTATTTCCCAGAAATCAAAATTAAGTGTTTGGATAAAAAAGCAAGTTCTGTAGAAGTTCATCAGAAGATATTGATCATTTAGTTTTTTTGGTATCTATGATGTTTGGGGTTTAAGTCAGTCCACATATTCCACTGTGACTGCCTCAACTACAGAAATGATGCTGTACCGCATAGCAAAAGGGCTCTGCAACGCTATCTGCCAGTGTGGCAGTGCAGACGTAGCCCATTTTCCCCTCACTGTTTTAGGTTTTTGTTTTATCTTTAAATCGATTTTAGGAAATGAATGATCTGAAGTTGAAAATCACGATATAGCTCCATTTCTTTTTTTTTTTTTCTTTTTTTTTCACAGCCCTTTTAAAAACAAGAGCAAATCTCTACATTTTTATCACCAGTCATAGTCACTAATAACTTAACTTCAGAACAGAGAAGGTACAGGGCATCTTAATCATTGCAGACCTTTTATAGATTCTTCATAAACATGGGGTTTGATCTTTAAGTTATTTGTGCTGCCTGACTATATAGTTACCACTGAGTGGCCAACTTGCATAAGTGTTAATGACATCCAGAGCTTTTTTTGTTACCGTATAAAGCAGAAAATCACCATACAATACTGCTATTTTTATCTTTTGGATGCAAAGGCGTACTTGCTGAGTAAGCTTAACCTTTCCAGCTCCATCTTTCTTGTTTGATTTTATGTATGTATGTTCGGTACTGTTCTATAAACCCTTGTGCCAAAATGGGAAAATGAATACGGTATAGCTGATATGGACACAAATGTTTTTCTTTGATTAAAAAAACCCCAAAACATTTAAGCTTTGGAATATCGATCAGCCACTAATTGAAAATGGGACATTTTCTCTTGTTTGCTTTGGACTGTGATTCTGGTTTTGTTTTGCGTTTAGTGAAAAAACTTCAATTTAAATAAATTAGGGCTGAAACAATTAATTGGACTAATTGTGATTAATTGATTATTGAAATAATCATCAACTAATTTAGTAATCGATTAATCGTTAACTGGAGTATAGAGACTGTAAAACATGCCTTTAGGTAACAGAGCAACACACTTAGAGCAGTAATTATAGCAAAATTGTAAAAAAAAATTATAAACATTTTATATTTAAGATATTTAAGATCATTCATTATGCTTTGTCCAGAAGTTGAAAAGTTTTAGTTTTACCTGGTTTAATTGCACAAAAATTCTTCTTTGAGGAACCTTTTGCTTTCCGATTATTAATTGAAAAAATAATCAACAGATTATTCTATTTGCAAAATAATCGTTAGCTGCAGCCCTAAAACAAATATTTACTTAGGTGTATAACTTAGAGGTAATCCTGTAAAATGATGATCTATCCATATTAGTCAATTCTTTAGGAAATCTGTATGATATATTTTTTTGTCTTTATGTTAATTCTAATGTTGAAGTAAAACAAAACTGAAACACAAGAAATTGAACTTGTTGAAACCATTAGGAAGGTATTAAAACTTGGAAGTTCACTCCTGAAAAAAATGGATTTTGAGTATTTTATGTTTTTTTGTGGCACATTGGAGATAAAGATGTATTTATATCTGTATACCATTCTTGGAAGGCGCACACTGTTACGATCAAATTAATAACAAACACATTAGACATCCCACAGCTGCATTCAGGTTAGGTCATGTGTTCCTTATAATCTCTGGGTTTTATTTGTTTATACTTCTTAGCGATATTCACAGATTTTCAGCCATGAGGATGAGCTTGTTTTTTCCCCCTGCTGTCAGCTTTCTATGTAATCATCAGACCTACTGTTGCTCTATTAGGGGTTTTAACTCTTAGATTCTGTAGGGTGGGATTGCCATTGTGCTCCTGTTGTGTAATGCTAAAGCTTCCCGTTCTTTTCCTGGCTGCTCTGTACTACACATGCACGTATGCACTGCAGTAGAAGAGAGCTATTTATAGACCTGCCCCATAAAGACAAATAAAGGTCTATTTAAACTGACTCTCTTTTCATTATTATTGTTTTTGATCGATTTATTGATTTATTTAATTGAGAGGATAATAAAAACCAAACCTGAAAATACTGCAGCATTTGACATGAAAGCAGTGGTAGAGTGTTTATAGAATGAGTCACCCAAGCATTGAGCACAACACGGAGAGGTGGGGAGTGGTGTGATGAGGATGTGACTGTGCTTTTTGTATTTGTAATATTCACATGAATGTACTTGTAGAGCCAGGGCAGACTAGAACGGTGAACATTTCAACAGCTCTTCCTTCTGTTTCAGGGTTCAGACTTACGAGCCATTGTTAGAAGGCAGGGTTTTATACCAAGAATAGTAACTAAGTGTACGAATTTAGTACACTGCAGTGTTTTCACAGTGGAATACTGTGGGAGGCTAAAAAGATGAATTAGTGTATGAATGAAATTTCTGTTGAACTTTTCTCTCTATTTTACAGAGTGTAGGACAGTTGCTCTGTATTTAAGGGAGGCAGAGGGTGTCATCTGCTTTGAAATGAATAGATTGATTGATCTGAGCGTTGCATGGCTCTCCACACATGTTCAGATTGTAACGGGTATGCTGCATTAACTTCACTGTTTAAAAAATTACCTCTAATTTGCTTTAACAAGCTTAGATCTTGTTGAATGAAAGAAGTGCAATGATCCTGCCTGGAAACAGCTGTGAGCCTCAGCAGTCGCCAATTGTGTACTATGAATAGTTTAATGACGAGCTCAGCAGAGAGGAAAAGCAGAATAAGAGAACATCATTGTGTTGTGTTGTTATACATTTTCCTTTATCGACTATAGTGAAGTTCACAAACCGGTCAGTGTGACAGTAGATGAAATGAGTCTCATAGTCCACTAATGTTCAATCTACTATATGATTTCTATGATTAAAAGGTTTATATTATTCGATTATGGTTTGTATTGATCAGAATCAAAAGCATACAGGTTCAGCATGAACATAACCAAAATTGGAGTTAAAATGGCAAAATGTTAAAGGAATCCAATCAGATAATAGAAAGCATTATGCAGACTTGTATTTCCAGAACGAAAAGAAATAAACATGTATGGAAAAAAGTAGAGGAGAATTATTGTATAATCGTTTGCTTTGTTTATTTTTGAGTGTTAAAGACTTTGAATTTTGCCATTAAATGTTAAAAATGTTGTCTGACGTGATACATATCTTTCTCATATTAAGCTAGAATACAGGTTTAAAGACCTGATAGTGTAAAGGTGTCTGCAGATATCTGAAATCAACTGCAAGTCATTTATCTGTTGAATTTTTGAAAACAAACAAACAATAGAAATTTTTGGTTTAAAGGTGTTGTTTTTTTGTTTTGTTTTGGGTTTTGTCTTTTTTCTTGAGCAGTTTGAATGCCATTAAATTCCAGGCAGTTGTGTTTTGATTATTTTGGCCTTGAAACGGCGCAGACAGATGAGCTGGAGTGGGTTAGAGGCTTCCTTCTGTCCCTGACTCTGGTAGTGCTCAGTCTGAGCTGCTTGTCACCGCCATGCACCGTGTCATTATGTGAACAGGCTGGCATGTTCGTGTACAGTATGGCTTTGTAAGTGTTGGAGAAGAATAGAAGAGCACAAGGATTTAGATTTAGAAAAGGAGGAAGTTTGAGTCACTTAGCTTTTTATATCTTTTTTTTCTTCACCAAAGGACGGGCAGGTTGTCAGGATGAAGGAGGAGAATTTGCTCCAACGGAGGCTTTCTCTTTGCCCGAGCACCACCTCTCCACCTAAAATCGACCCCCGCACCCTCACCCGCAACTTGTCTTATGGAGGAGACAATGACATCTACAACTACAGTCCAGGTATGAGTCTTTAATCGGACAATTACGAATTTTAAAATAATTAAAATGGTATAATAGAGTACAATGATATAGAAACCTTTACCAGTCACTTCCTGTGTCTGTGAAAATATGCCGTCCTGCACTGCTGAGTAATTTAACCCATAAACAACTGAACCAACCTAAGCTGCTGCTTGTCAGATGCTTTGTTGGCTGCTGCGCTTTAATTGTTTGTCTGCAGGTTTAATCACTGAGCACATTTGTATGTGACTGTATGTTATGGGTTCCCACCAGGCAGTGAGACAGACAGGAACGCTCTCTCCATGCTGAGTAGTGAACTTAGTCCTGCCCAATCACCAGACAGCAAGGTAAGACAACACAGCTCCTCATTGGGCAGTTCCTCGACATATCACACAACAATCTAGTCCTCAAGTGAGCTCTCGGCAGCTGCTTTTCCATTCAGGGATCATTTTGTCTCACTGTTTCTTTAGCAAGTTGGAACAGGCAAAAGCTGACAAAGCTTTAAAATCTGGGTACCTATTTTAAGAACTCAAGCAAATTTTGTGCCTTTTTGAAATTTGAACCTAAATATATCATGTAAAAATATAAAGCCGAACAATGCCTTGCAAAAGTATTTACTCACTTGAACTTATTTTGAATTTTAAAGTAATATTTTTTTTGTATTAGATCTTAGAGTAACAAAGGGTAGCCTATATTTTCTAAAACATAGGCTATATATAAGCTATATAAATATATTGAAAAGAAATTCTTATTTTCCTCAACAAAATCCAGTACAGCTGATTATTTCCCAAATAGAGTCCACCTGTATGTGATCT